ACGTGGAAGTAACAGTAACAATGGCACTCGAGCCGCACCCGTAGTCACAGCCTTAGTCGTGCCCGTGATAGCTGTAGTAGTCGTAGCAGTAGTAGTAGTACTTCTTCTAGTAGTAGAAGAAACTGTAGTAATAGCACTAGTAAACACAGCAGTAGGCAATAGAAACACTTAGGGCAGAACTAACAGGGGTAGTAGTCGTAATAGTAATGGTAATACGAATAAGGGAAATAACATTGATAAGAGCAGACAGAATCGTAGTCGGGGTCGCGGCTGTAGCCGCAGTCGCAGCCGCAATCGCAGGAGAGTGCGGCAGTCGTAGTAGCAGTAGTAGTAGTAGTAGGAGTAGTAGTAGTAGTAGTAGTAGTAGTAGTAGTAGTAGTGGTGGTAGTAGTAGTAGTAGTAGTAGTAACAGTAGTAGTAACAGTAGTAATAGCAGTAGTAATAGTAATACTATACGTAGCCGTTGAAGTAGACGTAAGCGTAGCCGCAAGCGCTGTAGTAGAAATAATGGTCGAACTCGTAACCGAAACGGCACTAATGGTGGTCGTAAGGCGAGTAGCATGTGGCATACTAGTCCCAGCCGTAGAAGTAGTAGTAATAATAAAATCGAAGTGGTAGCAGCAAAGGACAAGCACCCTAGTAGTAGTAGTGATAATAATAAAAATAATAGTAGCCGTAGTAATCGTAGTAGTCGTCATAGTAGTAGTAGTGGTAACAATAGTAATCGTAGTGGTTGTAGTAGTAGTAGTAGTGGTAGTAGTAGTAGTAGGGGAAGGAATAATTGTAGTAGTGGTGGTGGCGGTAATAGAAATAGTTGTGATAGTAGCAGCGTTAGTAGTAGTAGTAGTAATAGTAGTAGTAGTAGTAGTAGTAGTAGTAGTAGTAGTAGAGGTAGTAGTAGTAGTAGTGCTATTACTACTGAAGCTACTACTACTACTACTACTACTACAACTAAAAAGGAAGAATAAGTAGTAGTAGTAGTCGTAGTGGCAGCTGGAAAAATAGCAATCGTGGTGGCATTAGTGGTGGTAGTAGTAGTAGTAGTAGTCGTCGTAGTAATAATGGTACGAACAGCAGTAGTAGTAGTAGCAGTAGTAGTCGTCGTCGTAGTCGTAGTCGTAGTCGTAAGCGTAGTTGTAGTAGTAGTAGTAGTAGTAGTAGTAGTAGTAGTAGTAGTAGTAGTAGTAGTAGTAGTAGTAGTAGTGGTGGTGGTAGTAGTAATAGTAGTAGTAGTAGTAGTAGTAGTAGTAGTAGTAGTGGTAGTAGTATTAAAAGTAATAGTAGTGGTAGTAGTAGTAGTAGTAGTAGTAGTAGTAGTAGTAGTAGTAGTAGTAGTAGTAGTAGTAGTCGCGAAAATATTGATAGCAATGGTCGTAGTAGTAGTAGTAGTAGTAGTAGTAGTAGTAGTAGTAGAGGTAGTAGTAGTAGTAGTAGTGCTATTACTACTGAAGCTACTACTACTACTACTACTACTACTACAACTAAAAAGGAAGAATAAGTAGTAGTAGTAGTCGTAGTGGCAGCTGGAAAAATAGCAATCGTGGTGGCATTAGTGGTGGTAGTAGTAGTAGTAGTAGTCGTCGTAGCGTAGTAGTAGTAGTCGTAGTCGTAGTCGTCGTAGTAGTGTAGTAGTAGTAGTAGTAGTAGTAGTAGTAGTAATAGTAGTGGTAGTAGTAGTAGTAGTAGTAGTAGTAGTAGTAGTAGTAGTAGTAGTCGCGAAAATATTGGTAGCAATGGTCGTAGTAGTAGTAGTAGTAGTAGTAGTAGTAGTAGTAGTAGTAGTAGTAGTAGTAGTAGTAGTAGCAGTATCAGTAGTAGTAGTAGTAGTAGTAGTAGTAGCAGTAGTAGTAGTAGTAGTAGTAGTAGTAGTAGTAGTAGTAGTCGTAGTAGTAGTAGTAGTAGTAGTAGTCGTATTACTCGTCGTAATCCTAGCGGTCGTCCTAATAGTGGGGGTAGTAGTGGGAGTCGCAGTGGAAATCGTAATCGCCGTAATCGTAGTTGTCGTGCCAGTGATGGTAGTCGTCAATATCCTGGATTTCCTCCCTCCTGCTTCCTCCTCCTCCGCCTCCTCGTCCTCCTTAGGACTGGTTGCATCTATAGTCGTAACCATAATAAAAAAACCGAATGGAAATAATGAGTGTGCAAATACCCGTAAAAATATTGGTCAACGTACGTGCGCCTCCTCGTGCCAGGCGGGGGGAACGGGGGGCAGGAGAAAAAAAAAGGTTCCCGGACCAATCCTATTCGCCGCCAAATGAAAAAGGAGGTTCAAAACGAAAGACTTGCAGAGGTGCAAGATCTTTGTTTTGTAGATTCGGCGGACCACAAGCTTGGGGCAAATCGATTATGTAGACGATCTCGTACTCGAGCATGTCGAGCACCTTCAGGGCCCCAGGGGACCCTGCAACCTTCGATCGCTCCCTTTTTCACTGCCCCGCCCCCTTGCCGAAACGCCTGACAGAAATGTAACGAGGCCGTGCCGCCCGATAGGGAAGCATCAGCCCAGCGAAGACCAGAGGAGACGCTAGCCGAATGAACTCCGCCGAAGAAACGTGGGAGCCACGAGGGGAAACCCTGCGCGCGTGTGACACTTGGCCTTGAGATACTTAAGGGTTGTGGTTGCAGGCCCTGCGAACCAGACAATCAGAACCAGGGAAAACAGCAGCCCCATGGAAAACGATAGGAACGACAGGAGAGGGTAAGAGATGGGGCGCGCTGACTTGTTTTGCCTCCTCGCATACCTGGGGGACACCGCAGCATCTGGTAGGGGAAACTTCCCGCGGCGAACACGGGAGAGGCGCCCTGTTCCCTCGATACATCCCAAGGAGAAGCACCGAAAGCTGCGCAGATTATTTTAGCTGCGGCCAGGATGCCGAAAGTGGGTGAACGATCGACGTCGCCAAACAAGTTTTTGTCGAGGCGCTGGTGACCGCTCAGCGCAGGAAGGCCCACAAAGGAAACAGGCGCGAACTGGACGGCCGGGGATGAGCACCTGCGGGCGGGCGAGGTGCGCAAATTCGGAATAACAGAAAAACGCGTCACCAGCACTGCCTCGGATGAAACGGGTCAAGACTCCATCAAGAGCACACCGTCACTGTGCGTTGCCCGGCAGGAGGGAACGAGGAGGGGAGAAGCAGGCAGACAAAGAGGCCCGCGCAGCGACGCTGCGTCCTCCGCCGCATGCGCTCGCACCTGAATGAGCACGCCGCCAGGCGGTTCCCTGGACTTCCGCCGGTCCCGCCCGAGTACCTGCAGGAACACTGGCTGGAATAACGCTCGGTCTGCCAACGCTTCTTGTCCACGGCCGCGGCCGGAGCGTCCGCCGCCCGTGCCCCCAGCGACCGGCCGCTTGACGGACCCGCGGGCCTCCCCTCCCTCAAGGAAACTTTGCCCCCCAGCGGCGGCGGAACACCGGAACCTGCGGGGGCACCGGGGCCTGGGGTGCCAGCGTTGCCGGCGGCGGCGGCAAGCGCGGAGGCGGCGGCGCCTCCCTGGGCCCCCGCCGCACTAGCGGCATGAACCTCCGCAGCGGCTCCATGCACCGCCGCGGCGACCAGCGCGCGAAGCTGCTCGACGAGTGCCGCGACGTCGCCGCCGCCTCTGGCGCCGCCTCCACGCTGCTGCAGCACCGAAGTGGCAGCTGCGAGGGCGTCGAAAGCCGTCGCGACGCCGGCCTCGGACAGGTCCGTTGCTGCCTGCGGTGCGCTGGCCGGGACCGCCTCCGCCTGAACTGCCAGCAGCCCGGCATCGGCCTGCTCCAAGGCCAACTCCGCCTTGGCCACCTCGGCCTCGAAAAGCGCGCCGCAAGCCGGGCCTCCGCCAGGTCCCCGCGGGCCGTTTGCAGCTTGGTCGTCGCCACCCGCTGCGACTTCGTTGCAGCTTGCACCCAGACTGCCCACGGGCGCGAGGCCTGAGCAGCCTGCTCCAATGCCTGGGGTCGGCGGTCGCATTCCGCCAGGTCTGCCGCCGCCCCGTATAGCTGGGCGGCAGCCCGGCGATCGCGCCAGGGCTCCTGAGCTCCCGCTGCGCAGGACTCCGTTCGGCGGCAGGCGGGTCCTGCTGCGAACCACCTGCCAGGGGCGGCTGCATGGGAACATCGCCAGGCGTTGCAGCGCCACCAGGCGGGGGCAGCAGGCGTTTCACGGTTTCCGCGTACGAGGCCGCTCCAACCGCCCCAGCCGCCCAAACTGCCTCGCCACCGCCACGGCGCTGCTGGCGACGCGGCGCGTCTGGTTTCGCCGTCCGCGCGCGCGTGTGCCACTCCTTCGCCACTGCCCAAGCAGCGTTGGCGATCCGCTGCGGCGCAGCCCAGTCGCAGCGCTGGCAGCGCACGCGGCAGGCCCAGATTTCCGCGCGCTTGCACTGACACCCCCAGCATGTCTCCCGTGGCCCTGGGAGCACCGCTGCGTCCACCTGCCGGCTGCGGCAGCCTGCCCGCGCCCGCCGCCGCGGCCGCCTGGCATTCGGCACCGGCCCGGCGCGCGGATGACCCTACGCGCAGAGCCCAGGCGTCGAGCAGGCCGCTGAGATCCTGCCCACCTGGCTTGACAGTGGTTGCAGCTTGAACCAAAACAGCTTGAGCCACACAAGTGTTTAGACACAAATCCTTGGATTCAGTGTCTATATGTGTACATATATGTATATATGTATATATGTATATATATATATATATATATAAGTTCTGGAGAAAGAGAGAGAGAGAGAGAGAGAGAGAGAGAGAGAGAGACAGATACTCCCATCCGGTCTGGGTTTCTCATCCCAAAACTGGTCCTCCTCCTCCCTACATTCCTCGCGGCGCGAGCGAAGCCGGGGGCCGAAGCGCCGCACACCTTTCCTTGGGGGGGGGGTAGTCTGTCGCTGCGGATCCGTGTTTCATGGCACTGGGGCACGATAGCAGCCCCAAGAGGCCAACATCAAGGAAGAACGCCCGACCTGAAAAAATCATGTTGTCGGGGAGCTCGGCAAATCCGAGACCCTATCCAATTCCACAACAGCGGCGCCTTCAGCAGAAGCTCGATGACCGGGCGGTTGGCAACCCCGCCCTCCACCGCGCGCAGCAGCGCCGTGTTCCCGTGCGGGTCCTGCAGGGAGGGGGGAAGAAGCCTGTCTGCTGGGCGCGCAGACGGGGCCCACCAGCAGACCCCAACTGCTTCCACGGCGAGCTTCCACAGCGAGCGGTTTCGCTCCGTTGCGGGCACTGGGACCATCACAGATGGATACCGCCCGAAAAGTGCAGCAGAAAGATCGGGTCCACGGTTCTGGCCGCGATTTCTAGCAGATCGGCTCCTTTCGCACCGAGTGTCCTGGAATGCTTGGGAGCAGTGGGGGCTCGATCGACGACTGGGCCTGGCGCAGCGCCGCTTCGAAGGAGGCGCTGGAGGGACAGCAGCAGCATGAGGGAAAAGGGAGGGGGGTGGGGAAGGAGTTGAAAGTGGGGGATGGGGGAGAGAGGTAGCGCAAGGGGGGTGGAAGGGGAAGGTAAAGAAGAGGAAGGGAATGGAGAGGTGGGGGGAGAGCGAATAATCGCGAGTAAGGATGGTGAAAGCAAGCCGAAAGGAAAGTGGTGAGGCAGGGGGGGATGAGGAAGGGGGGCTCGAGAGCGGGAGAAGGGGTTGCAACAGGAACGTGATGGCAGGGGGAAGAGGGGGGGAATGATGGGAAACGAGAAGGATGAGAGATGACATCGGACGAGAAGGGCGAACGGAGAGCGCGAAAGGATGATAGTTGGTTTGAAGGCCATCCGTGGCAGGCCTTCTCAGAAGGCCTACCACCTACCTAATCCCCCCTCGGCGCGCCGCCAACATGACACGAATGTATGGCTTCTGGCCCATAGGTCGGGTCTCCAATGGCGGTTCGACACGATCCGGGACGCCCCGGAACGAACGCATCCCGAGACAGGAAAATCCTTAGGAGCCGACGAGGTCGTCCGAAAACCACGCTGTGTCGCCACCGCGCCGTCTGGGGGCCCCCGAGCAGACGTCGGGCGGCGCTCCCGGGCATCCACGGCCGCCCGGGCCGCCAGCAGCGACCCCACCACGTTGTCCTGGCCTCGCAGCGGCCGGGGCGTGGGTTTAGGTGCGCGTTACGCCTATAGCGAGCTTGGTAATCCTCCTCGTCGTCTTCGCCGTCGCTGTCGTCGCCGTCGCCGACGTCGCCTTCGTCGGCTCGTCCTACATGCCTCCCTTTTCCCTTTGCCTCCTCCTTCTCCTCCTCCTGCTCCCTGAACCTTCTCTCCAACCCTCTTTTGTTATGGGTGCCACGTCCTCGTCGCACCGTCTGACGTGGCGGTAAGGCAGTCCATGCGTTTCGCAGGATTCTTCTCCGCCGTTTACGACTCCGAAGCTTCAACTCTGAAAAACTACACGGATGGATCCTCGATGGCAGATATTGCGTCGCACGCTCGTAAACTCGTCATGCAAACTCCCAACCACAAGGAAACATAATGGACCGCTTTCAACATGTGGCTCTCACCTTAACGCCGCGCGCCTTCGACTAAGCCGGCTCAAAATATGGCATGTTGTCGCAGCGACTGTTTTCTGTTTCGTTTCATAATCAGGGATCTCGGGTCAGAATGCTCTTAAAACGCTTTGGACCCGAAGCGTCACACTGTGCACAGCGTGCAGCGAGTACATGGACTCAAACTTCCAGCGGCACGATTTTTTGAAGGCACGGGTACCCAGACCACTCGATGCCTTCCCCTGCGCTATATGTTCATGACGAGCAGGTGTTTGGCGGTCCCTGGGCCAGGCGAGGGTCCCCGAAATGCCGAGTGCGGTCAAAAACCTCCATCGTGATGTCTTGTTCTTCACTACGCGAGTTGGTCTGGGGATGGGGGACCGATCTACGACAGCGCGCTTGTGCAAAGGTAATCGCGTCGGCGAGGATGTTTCTTTGGGGCTTCGCCGGCAGGCTGAGGGGAGGCCGAAGGGTGGATGGATGACCAGGATGCGCAACAGGCCTCGCAGTGCGCTGGCTGGAGCAAGACTTCGCGCCGGGACCTCACACTGTGAAGTAAGTGGAAGGATCGCTCACCAGGCTTCGAGGTTTGCGAGCGAGCGAGCCTCCCTTTAGACAGTGCGTCGAGGCGGATCGCAGGATCCGGCCACGTGGAGACGCCCTTTACCTACGCAGGGAGGGCCCCAGCTAATTAGTGGCCAGGTAGGAGGAGGGAAGAGCGGGACGGAGGAGAGAGGAAGAGAGAGAGAGAGAGAGAAAGAGCGGAGGGAGTTTCGGGCACCGAACTTCACTCTGGGGAAAGGATCTGCCACTAGGCGCCCAAATCGTGGGTTTCAAGGAAGCCAGGTCCACGCCAGCCCGCCGACAACGAGTCGTTGCGCATCGCGGAAAATCTCAGCCCCTCCAGGCCTTAGGCACTACTCCGGCCACGTATGGGAACAAGCTGCAATAACGCACGAGCCTACTGGTGCCCAGGTACACCCCGAAGGGCAAACGCCCCCCCCCCCCCACCCCCCCCAAAAAAGGCAAGGGCATGGGCGAAAGCCATTCTGCGAACCCGATGGTTCAGCTTCCAAGACCGCTGGCTTCGTACACTGAGATCGCCGCAGCCACGACCAGATGGCAGTGGAGCAGGAAGAAATGGTGCCAGGAGCTACGACTTGGGGGTCGCATCGATGGGGGTTAATGATCAGCCCCCGCTCATGCAGGGTCTTTGAGCAACTAGATCTGCAGAATTCCCCATCGCGCGTTGCAGTGGCAGGAGTGTCCATACAGCCTGGTCCATGAATGCACATTCACGAGGCATGGACTCTGTCAGCTTGACTTCGTGTTTCACCCTCCTCCCATACTCAATCCTCCTTCTCCTCGCTTCAGTCATAGCGAGTGGCTGCCCAGGGATACGCGCCAGAGGGCAAGCACGCGAATGGGAGATCTCCTTCAGAAAGAACGTCATTGTGCGAGGCGGGAATTTGCGCGGCTGATACGGGGACAATGTTCATATCCGATGCCTGCCAAGGTCCCCGAAAATCGATCCCCGAGGCGCGTTGCTGCGAGCTGTGGTCTTCCCGCAACGCGTAGAAGGCAAAAGAGGGCGGCACACGCACGGGAGGCGCGAGAGGCACCCTGGCTGGCGGCGAGCACCAGCGAGAGCTCCGGCGAGAGCTCGGGCGGGAGCTCGGACAGCAGCTCCTGCAGGACGGAGGAGCACTCTGCAGCCATCGTGCTACCAGGAGGGACGCTGGCAAGAAGAAGGAAAGGGCAGCTCTGGCCACGGGGAGCCTCGGCCACGGACAGGCTCCGTGGCCCGAGTGGCCCGAAGGCTGGAGCCCCTCCTCAGCCCGAGGTGCCCCTTGCGTGAGCATCTTGGCCGTAGCCCACCTGCCCACTCGAGGTAATGCTTGCAGCCAAGACCAGGCAGGATGCAAGGGCTGCTCTGCTCGCGCCTGGCCAGGGGCACCCCTGGACCTTGGAGGCAGGGCGCTCGACGAGCACGCCCGACACCGAAGGCTGTGAATCAGGACATCAGACTGAGGGGGCCGAACGGTCTTACACCAACCCTGGGTGAGTGGCCGAAATGAGACCCCGCGGCGCGGATTCTGCTTGCTGTTGTCGTCGTCCCCCTCGCGACCCGCCCGCGACCCGCCCGCGACCTACCTGGGGACCAACCCGCGACCATTTACTTCGCGCCCCACCCGACATTCCCCAGCGACCCATTCGCGACCCATCCCGCGCCCGCCCCCCCACTCTGACCCGCAATTGCGGGATACTACCTATTCGCCCCCGCCCACCCCTCGGGAGCCGGGCACATTCATCTCCGTCGCCCGCCGGGCCTCGCCTCAGGAAACTCATCCTCAACGCGGGCGCTGGATCGTGCCAACATCCACCGATTCGGAGGCGAGCCCCCGACCCGACGTCTTGATTAACCAGCAGCTCGCAAAAAAAAACCTTCTGGGGATAATCAAATTCGGGGTCCAGGGAGGATAATAAAAGCTTTTCCTGGGGATCTCAACATAATGATGCAGATGATGACGATGATGATGATCAAAATGATCATGAACGTTCATAACAATCCGCTGATCCGGCGTGTGAGTTTCTGAGAGCGTGGACTTGAGCTCGCTCAATCTTCGCTCTGGCGGGGGGGGGGGGCGAACGTTATTTCCGACGTCATTTCCAACGTTTTTCGGTACCCGGGGATAGGGGGGTATAGAAAACTCCACTTCCGGAGCCCCGACCGCCCAAGACAGCCCAAGAGGAAGCCAAGAGACGCCCCAGAGGGCCCCTAGACAATGCAAGAGGGCCCCGAATCGCCGAATCATCGCTCGAACCGCTCAAGATGCCCAGAAGACAGTTCCAGAAACCTCCCAGACGTCCCCAGGATCCCTCACGACACTTCCCAATAATGCCCAAAGACTGACAGAGACCCATTCCCTTGGGAAATAGACCCAAATTTCGAGATATTCGTTTCTTGGGCCTTCACAATGTCCAAGACGGCACGCTCTCCCCCCCCATGGATCGGCGGCACTGGCCGGAGGCCAGCCCAATACTGAAACATCCATCGGAATCCTTCGGGAAACCATCGGAATCCGATGGACTTCAACAGGACCCCTTAGGATCTCCATAGGTTTCCTTACAAAATCCGAACGATTCCTTAGGACATCCTGGACGACCATAGGGAGCCTTAGAATATCCATGGGAATCCCAAGGAGATCGATAGACATCTTCACACAATCCATGAAATTCCTAAAGACATATATATATATATACATATATTATAGGAAACCTGAAAAGTAGACGGGAATCCGAAGGAACCCCTAAGGCAATCTACAGGAAAGGGATGAGAAGGATGAGCCCCAGGACAAGAACTTCAAACCAAAAACTCGAGTCGGGACCTACGGTTTTTACTTGTACAACTCGACTCGTTCTGATCCTTTTCAATAGCGCAAACGTGCGAGTCCATGGCGGCTCACTGGCGGAGATAAAAAACGGGGGTAAGACAGTTCGGCTTGGGCGCGCAAAGAGAAATACTAATAATACTATCTAAGAAATCTGTAGGACGTCTGATGAAATCTATAAGAACCTGTGGAAATCCATGATCTTCCCTAGGACGTCCATAGGATTCCAGAGGACATGCATCGAAGCCTTAGGAACCCTTGCTACTCGACGTAGAAGGGGAGCACATTCAATTCGCAAGTTTCCCCCGCGATGAAGTATGTCGGCTTTGCCGCTTCTCTTTCTTGACCGACACTGCATTCACCAGGGATCACCAACATTCGGTGGTCTAGGGGGGGTTAACTCAATATCTGCGGCTGGATGCTATTCAAAAAAAAACCTCTTGACGTCTTGACCTTCTCCCTGGTGCCAGTTTGTCATCTTGAGTGTTTTTGTTGCACGGTCCGGGAGCCAAGTAAAGGTCCCCTAGGGGCTGAATATCCTGCTCGCTCTGGCGGCGTTTCCCTGCCATTCGGGCGAGGAGTCCATCAAGAGGAGCGATGAACGAAACAACTGAAACAAACTATGGTGCAACGATACCCTCCTCGCTTTGGTGGGGCCTCCCGAGAACTCGTACGGTATAACGATAACGTGTTCGCTCTAGCGGGGCATCTCCGAAAAGGTGGGAAGGGCACGATACATGATAAATGCAATGGGATACGGGTACCCACGTGGGCTTTCGGTGGCTATCCCCATTGGGCCGCGAACCGTTTGGGGAGTGAGAGTGTAGCCAATTGGGGCCTACGAAGGATGTTGGTGACGACGGCGATGATGATGATGGTGGTAGTGGTGATGGTGACGATGATGATGTTCACGGTGATGGTGTTAGTGATTAGGCGTATCATAGTAACGATGATGCTTGCGATGGAGATGACAAGGAAAAGGGGTGACGACGGCGGTAATGATGGTTGCGGTGGTGACGAGAATGAGTGCGGTGATGGTGATGATGATGATGATGATGATGATGACGATGATGTGGGCAACTCTCGAGGCCAGGGGGTCACTTTTTGTGCAAAGGACACGGCAACAGGCGAGGACGGCGGAAGCATGCTGGCGCCATGCACCAGGAAAGGCATTCTAGAGCGGGACAAAGGGTGGGCGGGAGAAGCTTGAGAATGGTAGTGCGGCCCGAAAGAGAGCCACAAAAAGCCGCGGGCAGCAATATGTGGGCAACTCTCGAGGCCAGGGGGTCACGTTTTGTGCAAAAAGGACACGGCAACAGGCGAGGACGGCGGAAGCATGCTGGCGCCATGCACCAGGTACTTAGGCTAGCCCATCACACTGGCTGAAAGCCGCATTGACTGAATTTTCACACAGCTTTGATCTGCTGAGCGACGTAGCGAAGCGAATCAACACTGAGAGCCATCCTGTCGCAGGCACATCTTAGAACATTGACATGGGGCCGCAGCGCTTTGCTGCGGACCTGGCGATCTAGAGATGGGATGCCGAGCTCGCCAAGATGTCGTTTCCCAGATCGACAACAGAGCGAGTCGGCAGGCGAACAGATAGCAGAAAGAGAACTCATGTCCTTAACATGCCAGCTCACCCATCGAAATATTCTCTTTACACGGCCAGCAAACATACATGCATCAAAAGCAGCAGCAGACGAACACTGGCTAACAAGAGCGGCGCAGGCTGGGACATCCCAGATAAAAGACGCATCTGGATGGCACAGCGTGGCAGGAACTTTATTGCTGCTACATAGTGACAGAAGGCGCACGTACTGACTGCAAAATAGATTCGCAATGTGAATTGATCGAAGCTGGGCACTAGACAAAATCGGCAGGCCGTTGGGACGAGTTATGCTACGAACAACGGGCTTCTGAGGAAGCCCAGTAGTCGTGTCGGGCTCCACCCACACGCACGAAATGCAGCCTGCACGGATCCAGCCTAGCACACGCTTCATCACTAAAGGATCTGTGATGTCATCAGTGGCCTGGCGTCTCACGCTCAAAGTGCAGCACGCCGAAGCCGAGGCGCTGCAGCGCGCGAGCCGCGCCGCCGTCGCCGCCAATCACCAAGGCGGGCAAGTACCTGGACCGCGTCGCCGCGCGCCTGGCTGCACGCCAAATCCGCGTCAGGCGGAGGCCCACCGCGCTGTCACTTGCGGAGGCGAATGCCTGACCGCTGGCGGTGTCGGCGTCGCGGCAAGCGGCCGTCGCAGCGAGAAGACGCCCGTGGTGGTGGTCTGCAGCATGAGATCGTTCATCAGCGAGTCCACCCCGTGCCCACGGCCGATCAGGATCTGGTCTAAAGTGGCAATCTGCTGCAACACTCGAGCCCTCTTGGTGTGGCGGGAGAGGGTCGGGTCCGTTCTCCACTGGCCGCGGTCCTTGACCTCCTCCCTGGTGCGACGACGAGGTAGGCAGTCGTCGGCCGCACCCCCATGCCGATCCTCTGTCTTCCCAGGGCGATCGAAGCAGGCGCCGTTGACGATCAGGGCCAGACGTCCGTATCCGAGAGTGGCATCGGGTCTTGGTCGAAGAACGCCGCCCGCGGACAGGCGATAGGCCGCGTTGGTCGTCGGGTAGGTGTCGATCATCAGCCCGATGAACACTGCCATGCCGAAGAGCTTCCACGAACCGAGGACGCCCACCATGGAGGCCATCGCCACCCGTGGAAGAGAGGGTCGCATCTGCGGGGGCGCGAGCTTCCGCCAGCCTGTCAAGGCGCGAGCCGCACGCGTGGACAGCGCCGTGCCCACCATAGGCGGGCGCAGGTAGTGCTGCACTGAGGCGAGCAAGACTCGGCCCGTAGCATCGTCGAAACTGACCAGAAAGAGGTTCACGAAGTAGGTAACTAGGATGACAACGACCTCCGCCGCTGTAATGATGGTCTGGGGCGTCTGACGGCACCACTCCTCGAACTTCTTGACCGCGCCCCAGTCGTTGGCCATGGTCGTGTCCGACACGGCGGCTGACTCGACGACCGAGAGCGCTGCCTGCCCGAGCCGTTCTGGCTTTGGCGGCGTCTTGGTCCTCAGCTCCGTCGATGTCGTGGCTCGGTGGCGGCGAAGCTCGGGGGGCCGCCGCCTGGTACTCCTCAAAGGTCGGCCCGACAAAGAAGCCTGTCCTCGACGGCGAGTCAGCGGCATTGCTTTCGCTAGGGATCCATCGCACTGCGTGACGAATGCCTGAGGCTGCCGACAGGGCGCAGAGGCGACGTAGCGGATCACGAAGCCCTCGGGCGCCAGAACGTCCCTTGCCAGCAGCGAGGGCTAGAGCCAAATTGTCGACGGTGAACAGGATGCGATGATGCCGAAGCCGTCCAGACCGAGCCGAGTGTCGCATCGCAAATCCAAGAGCCTCCGCCTCGTATCGCATGAAGTCCAGACCGAACCTAGCATGACGTGCGCTATGTATCGTAGCCCAGCCGTCGAGAGCCGTGATCGAGTCGGGAACCTCGTCGAAGCCGTCCAGCGAAACCTCGTCGATCCCTCGATGTGATGATAATGCGGTAAGCGGGGGCTTGCTATGGGTCTCGGGAGGCCTCGGGCACTGCTCGCAATATTTGAGGCAGTGTTTGCTCACGGCCGCTTCCAACACAACGTTCGGGTCGACTCCCAAAGCGTGCGCACGAGCGCGCACGGCATCGGAGAAGCGGTAGCGCCATCTCTCCGACAATCGCCCTGCGGCTGCAGCCACGTCCTGCTCAACGGTCTTGCGACAGACGCCAATGCCGTAGGGAGAGGCGTCGCTGCAGAAAATGGTGGCCGCCCACTCTGCCCTGACATCAGCCCACCACAACGGGATGAGGGAAGCAGCAGCGCGAAGCTCAGCGGCGACTGACGGCCACAGCGGCAAAGCCCGACGGGAGTCCTGACCCATGAAACGGTAGACTGCCTGGAAGATCGACAGCATGGGCCTGTTGGTGATCATCCCCCAGGCGCAGTGACCGACCACGGCGGACAGCGCAAGCGGCGATGCATAGCCTCGTCTGAGTAGACCGAGGAGGGCCTGGCGCAGCCTGCACAACCGGTCCACCTTGCACCTGATGACGCCCACGTCGCCCAGGATGTCGAGGCCTGTGAAGGTGACGCGCGGCGCCGCGGGAGCGACCTCGTCCACGGGCAGGCCCCTCGCCACCAGCACGTCGCGGATGGCCTGGCACGAAGTGGTGGCAACCTCTGGATCGAGAGACACGGTGGCGAAGTTCTCCACGCAACCCGCTGCGATGATGTCGGTATCGTTTCGCAGAGGACGAGGTGCTGCACCGCCCACCAGCATCGCATCGTCATCGATCCCCGCGTCGCGAATGGCCGTGGTTAAAGCCGACTGGCAGAAGTGAAGAGCCCACGACCAACCCATCGGCATCACTGACACGAACGGCTGTAAAAAGGCCTTCGTCGGGATCTTGACACCATTGATCACCTTGAGACCCACGTACCGATTCGGGACCACTGGCAAGGAGAAGTATCGGTGCAGCTGGGGCGGCAGCTTCATGTGATAAAAGGCGCACTGGATGTCACCCTGCGCCACGTAGAAGTCATTCGACGCCTCGAGGGCACTCCATGCCGACGGAGTCGGCAATCTCGTAGAGGGAGGGGCAGAGAAGGACATGTTGGCCACCCGCGTATCAAAGACGAGCCGCAGGTTGACGCCATTCGACTTCTCGACGAAGAAGAAACCTGTGGAGTACGCCGCCTGACGTTCGGCGACTTCCCACTCTAGCATGCCCGCCTGGTCCAGGCGCAGCAAAAAATCAGCATATCCCCGAGGGCGAAACCGCAGGCGAGGATCCACGTATGGCGACCCGATGCCCGAGTTCATCCTGAGAGCGGCTGTCTCCGCAGGGTCACGTAGCATTTGTTGCCTCCACCCTGACAACGTTGAACGATCGGCGTCGGACACGAGATCGGCCGTGGGAACGGGGGCCACGTGCTTCGGCCAGGAGACGAGCTCCTTGTCGTAGGGTCTCACCCGAGACTCACCAGAGTACCCTGGCGCCGACGCGAGCAACTCTGCTAGGGCTGCCTCGCATCTGGTAGGAGATTCGGAATATCCAGAGGAGAGTTCAACATCGCGAAACTGTTGAGCAAGGCACTCTTCAGCGTCGCTGCGAGCGCGTGGAGGAAGACCTGGAGGCGGAGCAACCATGTCATCAGGGTCGCAGTGGTACATGTCGTTGAGGGTGAACACAGCATCGTTGTACCACTCTCTCCAGGCAGCACCTTTTGCAGCCCGTCCGCGGGCTGAACCTCCATCGACGCGATGCCAGATCGCCGCTCCACAGGGATAGGACGGAGAGGGAAAATGTCTCGCTGCCGCCATTGATGAGCAGCGATGGGGCAATGTGCCTGACTGGCGCCACTGGAGCGCGCCCCGCAGCCAGGCCTGGACTTCTCAGACGCCATGGCGCCCGCAAGGCACGCTCCTCACGTGCCTTGCGACGTTCTTTGCTGATGGCGGCCTCCGCCCGCATCTGATCTGCAATGTACTCAAGCAGCTTCGGCGAGATGCACAGGTTCGCCTTGGAGACGCCCGCGCCGAGGAAGTAGCTCGTCTCGGGGATGCTGGAGGCAGCGGCCGTCGCACCACTCCTAGCTCCAGACTTGGCCTTGGGAGCGGCGGCCGTCTGGGGCAGCGAACGACTCTCGTACACCCGCTCCTCCAGCAGCTGGAGCTGACGTGCGACGATCTCGAACGACGCCATCTCTGCCACCTGCAGCTGATCGTAGACCACGGCGAGGTCCAGGACCCGACACAAGGTCTCGTGGAGCTTGGCGTGCTCGTCGTCGTCGGCCAAAGCCATGGACGTGAGCCAGCGCTGATGCCACGCGGTGGGAGTTCCCGCCATGGTGGACATGAAGGACAGGCACCAGAGAAGCGTCCGTGGGCCCTGGACTGGCCAGCCCTGCACCTCGGTCTCGGAGAGGCCGTTCACCGTCTCGCCGAACCTCCGCTCACGCTCCCCCCGCAGGTTGATCGCCATCGGCAGCACCCTGAAATCGCCGGCGGGCGCGGGGAGCGGAGCGACCGCGGCAGGACCGCCAGCAGCAGCTCCAGGCACGTGCGCCAGCGGCGGCGCCGCGGCAGGGCCAGGTGGCACGGGTCCTAACGCAGCGGCGAGCGCCGCGACTCCTGGGGCGGCGCCAGGCGGTACGGGAGCAGCAGGACCAGCCGCAGGTGGAAGTGCGAAAGGCGGCGCCGGCGGCGCCGCGGCCGCGGCAGCAGGGTCGGCCAGAAGGAAGGGTCCTGGAGGCGCGCCCGCCGCGTTGCCCGCCGAGAGAGCCAGAGGAAGAGGATCTGGTGGCATTGGGTAGCCCGCAGCCACTGAGCGACCCACGGCGGCCCACAGCTCCGCGGCGGACGGCAAGCGCCGAAAGCGATGCACGGCGGCGCCGACCAGCGCGGCAGGCGTGTCGCCCTGGCCAGCCAACGGCAGCACCGCCCGCACGTCGGGCCCAACCACGATCGGCTCGTCGTAGTCGTCGAAGTCGGGCGTGACGACGTAGGCGAACCCCGCTGTGACCCCGAGCACCAGACGCTCGTGCCACAGGGCCACACCGCCGACGCGGTAGCGTATGGCGTGGAAGCTCCCCGCCATCACTGCAGCGCTGGGGCTCTGGCGCGAGCGAGGCGCACCTGCTCGGCAGCGAGGACGGCGATGTCGATCACCTCCGTGGGCAGCTCGCCAACCGCAGGCTCGAGAAGCGGTGCGAGCGCGCGGCGCGCCAAGAAGGCGCCTGCCCCAGCGCCGACGGCGAGCCCGACCGTGCAGGCGGCCACCGCGTAGGCCGCCACGAGGCCCGCGCACGAGGGCTCCACCACCTGCCCGCCAGGGCCCGCGCACACGCAGGAAGGGCAGGCCAGGGTCGGCGGCGCAGGGCACGCCAAATGCGGGGAGCAGTCCCCGCAACTGGGCGCCGAAGCGCGCGCCACCAGCGAGGCCCCAAGCGCCTGCGCCCCAAACCTCAGGACGTCCGCTGATGATGATGATGAGTGCAATAAAGGTAGTGTTTGTGGTGATGGTGAGGATGAAGATGACGGCGCTGATGGACATGATGATGAAAATTACCCTCATTCTTATGATGAAGGGCCAATCACAGAATATACGGTTTCCCGTTAGACCCAGCACGGGGGCGAGGATCGACGGTCGCTGGGCAAAGGGGCGAGCGTTCCAGAGAGCGGCGGGGTTATCCATGCTGGAAAACCGTTGCTACAGGCGCCGGGGCAGGCGGAACGCGCAGCGCAAGCCTAAGTGAGTAGTGGACGCACCGGGGGAGGAGACGAGGATGAGGGCCTGGGCGGCCTCTGGGTCGGAGCTGATCCTGGAATCACCTCGCCACGTGCGGAAATTGAAAGCCGCCGTTCAAGGTCTCCAGCCAGTGCCCCACCTCGTTCTCGAGCCAGCCACTGAGGCCACTCCGTGACGATGGATGACCTCGCCTTCGGATCCGAGGCCCCGCATGATCAACTTCCTGCCCTCCCACTCGAGACCTCTAATGATGAACTTCATATTCTTCCCTTCGAGGCAGCTTTCGAGTCGCGCGAGGCCGATTTGGTTTTCGAGATCCCCCTGGGATGGTTATGTTTGCAAATCCTCGCCGGGAGGGCGGCCTCGCGCTGGCGGTCGCCGACGTCGTTCCTCACGGCGGCCCCGACGTCGCATTCCGCGAGGCCTTCCTGGACCGCGAGGCCCAAGCTGGGCGCGGGGAAGCCGACGTTCTTCATTCTCTACCTGTCCTCCGCCACGCCGTGGCGCAGCGAGTCCAAGGTCGCCTTGTAGCCCTGCAGCTCGTTGCTCATAGCGTCGAAGACGGGGCGGGCCTGCTTGCGCGCGCGCGCCCGTCGCGAGCGAGCTGCTGAGTCTCGTCCAGCGCGCGGCCTGAAGCCCCAGCGTCAGAGTCGACTTCACAGAGATCCAAAAGCTTTTCGTCCATTCTGGGCCACGGCTTGTCGGAATGCGTCCGCCGCCCGCCTCGACGCGCCCTGCGTCGAGGCCCTGCATTTTGATTATTTCTCTCGCCGTCGCCCTCGTCGCCCGCGCCCCCCCCCCCCCGTTTCGGCGGCGGCGGCGGGCCCGGCGGCCGCGGCTCGGCCGCTCGCGGCTGAGCGGGACTTCTTCCGCCAGAGCCGTTCGATGAGTGCACTTGGAAGCGCCAGGGTGCTCGACGGGGCCCGCCGAGGTCGCGGCCCGCGCGGTCGTCGGGGGCGAGCAGTCGCAGCGACTCCTCCGCCCAGTTGCCTGCCAGTAGCTCGCCTTGCCTGTTGGCGAGCTGCAGCGGCGGCGAGCGCTGGCCGAGTTCCCCAAGGGGCCGGAGGCGGCCACGGCGCCGCCCTACTCGAAAAAGGCGTTCGCGCGGCGGCCTCGCGCCTGAATGCCAGCTCGCGCCTCGACGCGCATTGCGACGGAGGGGGGCGCGCGCGCCCGCGTGGTCGTAGCTGGTCAGGGCCCAGGTTAACACGATGGCACGCAGAGTCAAAATCGCACTCGCTTCGAGGACGCACCGCAGCTGTTGGCGCGCGCCATGCCCACGTGCGCCGCGTTAGGTCACGCTTGCCACGCGCGTAATAATCGTCGCACAGCGCGGCCAGAATTTGGGAGGATGGCGCGGCGCGCAGTGCACTTATTCCCCAATCAGTGCTCGCGCTGAAAGTCCTAACGGATATTGCAACATTTGGCGAAGATTTCGCGCCGATTCGTGGCCGGCTGGGCTCCCGGGTTCCTGGTCCCGGGTTCCCGGGCTCGGTTTCCCGTGTCCCGCATCTGGGCCGATTTCGGCGGGTTCCGGTTCCCCTGGTTCCCGGGTTCGTGGACGATGTCCTCATCGGTCCGTCGATCCCACGATTCATATTCGATATCAAGATCGATCCCACTATTCATCTCACTCAATCGATCGCACCGCCGATCTCATCATCAAGCCATCCACAGATAGCGTTTTTTCTCGTGTAACTATGAAGCTGCAGGGTAGAAAATACAGACGGTCATCCGGAGCCGTCTGCGTTAGTATTGAGACGCCAGCTGTTCTTGCAACGCTTCTGACATCCAGGGATACAATATCGGAAAGGTCAAGCGCGCTCGACATCGCCGTCCGTGCTGAGCGCCCGGGCAGATGGGATCGCCTCGGAGAGCCCGCTGGTTACTGGGCGGGGTCCATCTTGACGCCCAGGAAGTCGTTCCCATCGCCCTCGCATAGCAGTGAAGAAACCGGTCGCGAATCTGCTCGCCCCACCAAATTGCTTCTGCAACCTGCCGCAGATCCCAAAATGATTCTCGTCGGCTAGCTGCAGCGCCCGTGGGCGCGTCGAGCCAGCAGCGCCGATGAGTCCTCCTGTCGCGAAGGCCGGGCAACAACGGGGCGATGGTTCGCGGCCTGCATCGCAAAACAACCCGTCTCAAAAAGAAGGCGAAGCAATGGCCGTGGCTCTCGTGGTAAGCCGCGACGCTTTAACACCAACTCAGCCCGCGCGCGAGCAACCGCTGTCGAAGCGCTCTGCCACTTGAAAAATGCAAGTTAGCGAGGGGAGAATGCGAATCGCCTGCGTCGACATGGAGCGGATCTTTCTCCATCGCCGATTGTCGTTCACGAGCGCGGCTCCAGAAGACCGAGCTCAGGTCTCTCGAGGCTCTAGACGAATGCTTCAGAGGCTACAGGAACCGTTGGCGCGATCGAGGGCGCATCTGCCTGAAATCTCAAGATTGTTTTGAATTCAACCTCGATCTTGCAAGAAAAACCGGCCGAGTGATAATAGCTTGTTCGGAAATAATGAGGCGGTTGCTGCGATCGAAAGCTCTGCAGCTGCGCTGAACACCAACATGAGCGGCAGTGCCGCGCCATGCAGCAGAGCGGTTGCAGGGCCAGATCGATGTTTCGAGCGCAACTCCAGTTGAAAGCCAAGCTCTCGCGTCTGGAACTACAAAAGCAAAATTGCGCGTTCTTCCCACGCGTAGAAACATGTAGAGCTCTGAGCTCAGTCTCGACGTGGTGATTTAGGCCAGAAGCTGTTCAGTACATCTGAAGTAATGCAGAGTGAAATACGTTGCTGGATCATAGCTCGAGCAACGGACCGAGCTCAGTTCTCTGGAAATGGAAGAAATTAATCGCCGGTTGAAGCAGCGCGCGCGCGGCAAGAGCTCCCGGCTCGCATTGGGGCTGGAGATGTTCTCCGTCGAAAGATTCCGACCTAGCAAAAGTGGTTGCAGGGTGAGATTGTTTGTTCGGTCGTAGCTCCAATTGAAGGCAGATCTCAAGCCTCTCAAGGCTCTACACCAACGCTTCCGAGACTGATGACCCCCCACTGGTGTGGTCGAGAGCTCTGCGAGTGCCCTAAATCTGGAGATTTTGCAAATCGGACTTCTCGATTCAGCAAAGGCCCTCGCAAAGCGAGATGATCGAAATCGCTTGCTGAGTGAAACAAAGTTTCGGAAATAGCCCGGGTAGGGTGCCGAGCTCAGGCCCCTCGAGCTCTCGAGCTCCTCTGAGCTCGATGTAAGGAAAGCGCTTACAGAGTGCAATTGCCGGTGATTGTTTAGAAGACGGATCTCAGGTCCCTCGAGGTCCTGGCCCAACGTTTACTAGGCTGCAAAGTCCGTTCGTTGGATCGCGACCTCTGTAGCTGCTCCAGATCCCGGGAACTTGTAAACTCAATCTTTCGATCTGGCAAAACGCCTGCATAATGAAATCAGGAATTGGCGATGGCTCGGGTGGCAGACCGAGCTTGGCCGCCCCCGAGGCTCTAGACCAATGCTTTCGCGGGTGCCGCATTTATTCGTTCTCGCGTGGGTTCTGTATCTGTTCTGAATCTCGAGATGTCTATGTCTAATATTCTACTATGAAGAAACCGCTTGCATAATGCGAATCGTGTTCGGTAATGGCTCGGGTCGGAGGACGAGCTCGGGTTTCCCGAGGTTCCAGATCAATGCTTTCGAGGGTGCCGGGCCCACTGGTGTGATCGAGAGCTCTGTAGCTGCTCTAGATCCTGAGGCTCTCTTAGTAGAATGTGTTGAACTAAGAACAAACGCTCGCATCATGACATTACCTCCTGGTGATAACTCGGGCAGGGGTCCGAGCGCAGCCGTCTCCGTGCTCGCGGTCAATAGTTTCAAGGGCGTCGAGCCTACTGGCGTGATCATGAGCCCCGTAGCTGCTCAAAACCTCGAGATCAACTCCCCCAACCAAACGCGCGCCAAAAATGTTGTCGCCGCGACCCCGAGTGTTTTCATGTAGATACTGCAGCTATGGCCCTGACACTGAGACAGGCGAGCTCCCAAAGATTCCCTACAGGTGCGAAGAAAAAAAACGCATTCCCGAAACGAGTGTTCACATCTCTCACAAGAGTCCAAAAAATCTACCCCAAGCTATCATATTGCCTATTTTTGTGTGGGTCAACTAGCTCCACCCGGCGCCGAAATACCTCTAGCTCTGGTCGAACCAAGATCTCTACGCGGTACGTAGTCGCCAACGACCCGCCGACTATTGTCTGCAACGGCAACGTACTCCAAACTGCAACGCATCCTGCGGGGCACGAGTCAAAACCTCACGCTCGGGCGCCAGCGTAGCGGCCTGGCCGACGAGAAGACCAGCGCGCCCAACTCACCAGCGCCCTGGGCGCAATTGCCTAGCTCCAGGGCCCGGAACAAGGCCGGGCCGCCAGTGGCGTCCAGGAAGAGAGCGCCATGTGCTGCGCCATCGCGCACCACAGTTATCTCTAACAAGTCGCCAATGAAAAAACCTGCGTGACCCTCGTGGGCCCGCGCTTTCAATGAGCGCACAGCTAAGCTTCGGCCACCTCTGCGCCCCGGCGCAGAACCAACGGAAATACAGATTCCATCAAATACTCCGGTTCGCAAGAGCCCGCGGCCCCCTCCCCCCGCGCCTAGCCGAATGGCAGGGCTCGCGTCCGAAGCTTGGAGGTGGACGACCGCCTGCTCGCGGTGTTGAGCGAATAGCGGGTTTTCGCCCTGGCATCGAATGGCGCGCGCAGCGACGGGCCTCTCGTCGGCCCCCGCGGCGAAGGCGCTGCGCGCTTTGCGCGAGATGGCCAGCAAAGATAGGCGCCCCATTCTCAACTGCGGAATCATTGGCGTGGCCGCAACCGCGAGAGTTTCGCGTCGTCGTGAATAGATGACCCCTTGTGCGCACGGGCGCGCGGCGTACTCTGACCCCACTGTTGATAAATCCGATGCGAAGGTATAACCGCACAAATCACATGCGCAGCAACCGAAAACAGTTCTGAATAATATACATGGGGCGCCTCGTGGGGAACTTGCGTTGTCTTTTTGGCCGTTCGCGATGGCGCGACTTGCGCATGCCAATGCTTGAAGCTGCTGGGCGTGATGGATCTGAGATACATATGGAAAAAATGCTTGCGCTATCTCGCCGCGCCGTTGGTGGTCCGAGCACAGGCGCCGCGATCAGTGGAGTCTCGCTTTGGTAGCCAAGACCGGATGCTCGCGATCATCGCCTCCTTGCCCCGCGCGACTGCGACCGGGCCGGGCGAGGCGAGTGGGGCTGAGCAGCAAGAACGTGATCTCGATAGGCCACGCCCATGCTGGGCTGCAGCGCCGTCGCTTCTCCCTCTGGCAAGACGTTTCGCAAGAGCGGCCTCGCGCTCCTTCTGCGGTGGCAGTGAGGACGCAAGCGCGCCGCCAGCCTTCTGGGCGTCGGCAGTTTAGGGGGGCTCCTCTTCCCAACCCCGTCTGCTTGTCCGGGGAGGGGTCTCTCGGCGCCCCCGATAGATGCGCGCCCCTTCCCCGGGGGCGACCAGCAGCAAACAGGGCGCAATGGGGCCCCCATGACAACTACGCCCCCGCCACCCGTCAAAAAATTAGCCTGGCGAGAGACCCGGCCACTAACAATTGCGAATACGGTCGTAGTTTGCGCCGCATTCGGGGGAGCTCCCCATGGAGCCGCGAAACACGTGAGGGACGTGCCGGCATGGGCGCGGCGGACGCATGCGAACGTTTGCATGTGGGCCTTCGGCGGGGCCCCCTATGGAGCTTCGAAGCTCGTGAGGGGCGTGCCAAAATGGGCGCGGCGGGCAAATGCGAACGCAGGAATTTGGGTCTTCGGTGGGGTTCTCAATGGCGCCGCGAAAAGTGCGAGGGTCGTGCGTGCCAAAATTGGCGCGGCGGGCGCATGCGAACGTTGGCATGCGGGCCTTCGGTGGGGCCCCTGTATGGAGTTGCGAAACGCCTTGGGGGTGTGCCAAAATGGGCGCGGCGGGCGCATGCGAACGCTGGCATGCGGGCCTTCGGTGGGGCTCTCTATGGAGCCGCGAAGTGCGCGTGTGGGGTGCGCCAAAATGGGAGCGGCGGACGCATGCGAATGCAAGCGTGTGGGCGTTGGGTGGGGCCCCGCATGGGGCCGCGAAGCGCGCGAGGGGCGTGCCGATGCGGATGCG